ATGAGCCTCATGGCCTCTTAAGGTCTTATGAGTGTTTACAGCTGCTGACTGAGGCCTTTTAAATAAAGCTCATTGGATACAAACGCTACAAAGGGAAAGTCATTCAGCGTGGATCTGAAAGAGCGAATCATTGACTTGAACAAGTCAGGAAAGTGACTTGGAGCCATTTCAAAGCTGCTGCAGGTCCAAGAGCAACAGCCAACACTTGGTGGTCAGTATGAAGTGCACGGCGCCGTTTGGTCACCATCAGGAAGAAAACACACTGGTCAGGAGGGTGAAGAGTCATCGAGAAGCACCAGAGAGCAGATCTGCCAAGAATCAGAAGCTGCTGGAACACAGTGTCCGTGTCCACAGGCGTGTTTGCATCTCCATGGACGGAGAGGCTGCCGTGCAGGAAGGAAGCTCCTGCTCCAAAAGCGCCACCTTAAGGCTCGACGGTTTGCTGCTGATCACATGGAAGAAGATGAGACCTTCTGAGGAAAGTTCTGTGGTCAGACGAAACAAATCCAGCTGTTTGGCCACAATGCCCAGCAATGTGTCTGGAGGAGAAAGGGTGAGGCCTTTAACCCCAAGAAGACCACGTCTACCGTCAAGCACGGTGGTGGTATTATGCTGGGGGCTGTTATGCTGCCAATGGAACTGGTGCTTTACAGTAAATGGGACAATGAAGGAGGAGGATTACCTTCACATTCTTCTAACCTAAAATCATCAGCCTGACGGTCGGGTCTTGGGCGCAGTTGGGTGTTCCAACAGGACAATGACCCCAAACACACATTAAAGGTGGTAATGAGTGGTGGTCATAGATTGAACCAGAAGCTGGTGGACGGCTCCCAAAAGCGCCTAATTGAAGTGAAAATATGGGACGTGTAACCAATATTAGCACAGCTGTATGTATCCACCAAGCAGATTTCATCACGTTTTCTGAAAGAGTCAAGAGTCAAGTCCTGAAAGAACCAAACTTCATGAATGTTTATCTGTTCCAATCACAGAGAAAGATCCGCCTTGTAGAAATAACGGGCAACTCAAGCAAGCCACGACATGATGTTCTTTACAAGCGTACGTCAACTTTTCACCACAACTACACTCTTAATTCAGTCTGAGAATAAAAAGCCAGCATTTAAACCAAAGGGTCAAATGCACTGAATCCACATGTGTCTTCCCTGGTCCATGGAAACCAGAGACCAGGCTGCGGCGTAACATCAGGAAAGGCTTCTCATAGATTGGGTTAAAGAGGTTCTGAGGTTCTCTGCTCGAGCGTTTCTTCATGTGACCACGCTGTTTTTCTGTTGCCATAACGACCTACATCACAAGGGTTTTTGATGCTTGTGTTCTTAATGTTGTCTAATGGAAGATGGGGAGGAAACGGGAACTCTAGTGGCTCACTTTTACCGATGAATCCGACTAAACTGGCGATTCTACCAAAGTAGCGCCAGTGAAACTCCAACAGTTAGTAGCAGAAATGTAGAAATGGTGAACGGGAACTTCTTCTCAAGTACAAACATAACGTTTGGGTTCCTAAACACCAGTTCCAGGATCACTATGACGTGTACTGAAAGTAAAGTGTAACAGTGTCCATGTGTGTAACTCGTGTAGCTGGTTTGCAGTGCGTGTAAATGGACGAGCTCCTCTGTTGGATCATATAAAACGAGCTCTTTGACCATTTTCTCTCCCAGACGGTGAAGAGACCTCGCAAGGTGGTGCACTCAATGACCCAGCCTCCGTCCCCGGGCGGGGACAGTCGCGTGTACACCCCCTCCAACCACTACTACGACGCTGACAACGACAACGGCTGGTACCGCGAGCAGAGCCGCGAGCACGCCGTGGACAGCAAGGTGTACCTGGACCCCGACTACAGGGGAGGCCAGAGGGCCAGGAGCCGGGGCAGGAGCCCGGAGAAGACCTCGCCCAGCCCCGACCGGTCCAGGAGGGACGGCAGCCGGGGACGGGCCCTGGACACCAGCGCCGAGCGCCAGCGGTACCACTGCCGAGGTCGCAGCCCCGCTGAGGACAAGTACGAGCGCGGATAAGGAGGGGGAGGAAAGGCGGGGAGGTACAAGAGCCGGGAGCAGCTCAACGACAAGCCGCTCTCCCCAGAGCTCTCCCCTAGACCTGGAGGCTCTGGGAATACCGCTTTACGTGCTGCTGGGTGAAGACCGACTCAACGAAGGTACTAGTCCGCTTGGTATCAATGCAATGCCTGGTGGTTGTGTGGGGCTGCCGGGAGATTTTCCGTTCCTCACA